TTCAAACTAACCATATCTTTTTATATTTATCCTTATTTAATAAGTTATTTCACTCTAAAATAAATATAAAATAATTTATTTAATAGAAATACTTAAAAAAAGGCAATAATTACATATTAAAAAATTAATTTAAATAAATTTATATTTTTAATATCTAACCCTTAACAAAATACTTTATATTTTTAAACAAGGAGAGTATTATTTAAATAACTTTCAATTTTTAACCTAACTATTAAAATAGTCTATTTTAAAATGAATTTCATTGTATTAACTAACTTTTGTATACTGAATTTTTGATAAAAAAACTTTTAACAAATGAAGGACTAAACGGATTTTAAGTGTCTCTTTGGATTCACATTTAACAAAATAAAAGTCCTTTTAAATGTGATTTAAGCTAGAAAATTGTTTGGATTTAGATTTTTCTCAAAAAGTCCATTTAAAAAGTCCATCCCAAATTCATCTAAATGTGCTTTCCCTCAACTCTCATCAAGTTGCTTTTGCCATTCGCATTTGGACTGTAAAAATTTGGTTCCCATGTTACCCTTAAATAATTTAACAATTGCTGAACTTTGTATTTCATTTTGTGTTAGAGTGGTAGACTGGGAAAGGCAATGCTTCAAATTGTATTTACGAGGACAATTCTTATTAAATACACTTTAATCAATAAGGATCATCATTATAAATAATTTTGTTTGGTAAAATTTTTTAATATTCGTACAGACAAAAGTTATGTGTACATTTGCATCTTAAATTATATATTTTAATATTCAAAAATTTATAATATTATACATTTTTACTATATAAATTATTCACTATATCAAATTTTATTTTTTTTAAAAATAAATTTTAAATAAAAAATTACATATCATAAAACTATATACTCTTTAGTAATTATACTTCTAAATGTATTTTTTATTATTATTTAAATAATTTTTAGTTATTAAACTGACTTTTAAAAACATATATCCAAACCAAATCTCATTATAATAATTAAATTTTATTAAATTAACTTTTAATAAATTAGCCTTTAACAAATAAACTTTTACCAAACTAAAAACGAAACGAACCCTAAGAGTTTTAAGAGTTATTATTTTTTAATGATTTTTTTTGTATTCTTGTTTTTAATGGTTATTACATATTGATATATCTGCAGTGTTTCATTTAAAAAACAAAGACATGCTATCTCTTCCTCTTGCACATATTCACAATTAATGTAGTTTAGGATGCCTATAATGTTTTGTACATTGTCTTTAGCACATGTGAGACCTATAACATATTATTTTTTTATAATATAAAAAAACTAACTATTCTTAAAATATGTGAAATAGTTGAGAGTGTCTTTTAATAAAGACTAAAGAAAGTATCTAATAAATATCTAATTTTCATTTTAAATTGAGAATTTTTTCACTGCTCTTATAAATTGGTAAATAAAACTGTACTATAATATATTTTAAGAAGCTCTAGAATATTTTATGGGATATTTTTTGGTTATAGATTAATACTTACTTTTGGGAACTAATCATCATTTTCCCTATTAAATATTTATTTTTATTTTAGGAAAAATGACTAATAATTACCATATAAAGACATGAATTATAATTTAAAACCTTGAATTATAGAAATTTTGATTAAAACTTATGATTTTTAGTTGTAATTAAAAAGTTGCTTTTTACCAAAAATGCCCTCATTGAAGATTCATTGGGCACATTGCAGCTTGCCAGTGATAGTGAGATTTCAATAGAGCCTTAATTAACCATCATATTATTTTAAAATTTTATGATATTTTTGCATATTCTACCTCTTTAAAACACCCTCTCTCATCTATTATATTGAATTATTCTTAAAAGTTACTCAAAGTAATTTCTTAAAATAATCAAAAATATATTTTTAAAAAATTTAAATTAGTTTCAAAAGTTTAAACAAACGTCATAAAAACTCATAAAATAAATTTTTTTAAAAAAATAAGTGATTTTTTTAAGAAATAAGCTAAAACAAATAGCCTTATGGATGTGTTGCCTAAGCTAATTTGTGAGGCAGATTCTCTAGGTTTGCTCAATTCCCTTCATTTTCTAAAGCTATGTACATATCCTTAATTGTTAATAGTACTGTTATTAGAACCGGACCAGCCGGTTTGACCAGTTGAATTGGAACCGATCATATATCCAATCTGATTACACCTAAAAATCACTTTCCCTATGAATTGCTCATGAACTGGTTGAACCGGCCAAAAAATGATTGAACTGGCCATGCTACTTTTTATTTTTATTTTTAATTCATATTTTTAAAATATAATTTATACATATTTATACCCAATTAGCGTGATGAAATGAAAAAAAATGCAAGATATATGTATGAATTATGTATATATGTATATATTTTAAATTATAAATTTTAAATTATGAAATAATTATATATATTTTGGATGAAAATAATGTCATAAACATAAACTATAAATTATCTTGTTTAAAATTTACATATTTGTTTTTCTTACTATATATGATTTTTTTATTTTAAATATATAATATTAAAATATATCAATTTATTTATGATCCGTGGGACTGCAGTTTAGACCACAGTCTAACTTTTGAACCATGAACTAGTATCTCAACCAATTTAATAACTGGTCTAGTTTTTATAATATTGGTTAATAGGAACCTTTTTCTCTTTTCATTGACTTTTTTTTAAATCTCTATCTTGTTTAGCTGAAACCTAGAATTTTGTAAATTTATTATCAATTTAAAGAATTGTTTAAATGAAAAATCAAAACAGAATAATTTTTCTGAAATCAAAATGGAATGATGCGAAGATTTTTATCCATCACAAAAGTATTAAATAAAAATAAAAATATACTCCTTCCATTCAAAAATGTAATACATTTTTTAAGGAGTTAGATGTTAAAAATATAAGATATTTTTAGTCTCTCGAGGTGTAATTATTACCTTTTTTTAAAAGTATCCTTATTGATAATAATTTATACTTATTGTAGGGTATTTAATATGAGTAAATATATAAAGACAGGGTTAGTTGAAAGTAGGTAATTATTTTATTGGAGGATAAGGTTCGATTAAAAGTGTCTTACATTTTTAATGAAGAAAATATTATTTATATAAGATGAGGTTTATAAAAACCATAATAAAATAATTCAAATTAAGTTTGATTAAATTAGATAAATTAAATAATTAACTTTAATTAATCAACTGAAGGAATATTATAGCTAACTATTGTTGAAATTAAAAATTAAAATAAATATTTTATTTGTAATAAAATTGATTGTACTGCATGATATATATTGAAGTGGGCTGAAAGGAAAAGGGAAAAACTAATTAAAAATGGCACGCAATTATGAACAATTATGAAGGATGAATTGGCTTAATAAACAATTTCAGGTCAATCAAATTGTAAATAAGATTGCTATTACCCAATGCAAAACTTCAATAAAAACAATCATACAATTAATGAAAAATCATCCAGTCCTAATTCCATGTTTAAATGAAAAATCTAAATTGATCAAATAAACAGAATTTATGGAAGAATGTTTGAAATTTGTAATATAATTTATTCATTAAATTCAAGAGTAAATTTAATTTATGAACTATATTGTTAATATTTGTTATTTAAATAATTAAAATAAAATATTTTGAAATGCATAATTAAATCTGTATTATTAATTTATACGATCTTATTTACGGAAGCATCTTGATAGTTCAGTCAATTCTACCTGTTTCATCCCTTAGTAATGCATGCAGTTATATACTTTTATTTCATAAAAGTTACATGTGTTTCATTATCATAAACAACAAATGATATTTGCCATGCAATAGTATTTGTTTAATAGGCACAATCAATTTCAACAATTGTTAGGCGCGCATATTATGTGTAAGATTTTTTTTAAAAAAAATACTATTTTTATTGAAAAAACAAAAGTTACTTTTTTTAGAAAAATATCAAAATAGTTTACTATATAATCCTGGATGCGTTAGTTGCCGACCTTTTTAAAAATGGCAACTAAATTCACAAGTTCTTTTATATATAATTAAATTTTATTATCAATTTAAAAGAAATTAATTTGAAAAATCAAAAAGAATATCAAAATTGAATGGTTTGAAGAGGAATTATTAAATAAGACAACAATATATCATTTATCTAAGATGAAAGCTTTTAAATTAAAATAATGATAAAATAATTCAAATTAAATATAAGTAGGTTAGATAAGTTAAATAATTATTTTTAGTGAATCAACATAACAGATATTATAGTTAAATAAGAAATTAAAATGAATAGTTTATATATAATAAAATTTATTTTAATGTATGATATGTAAAGTGGAAGTCAATAGGAAAAAGAAAAAAATATATTCATTCTAAGGGCCAATTTGGTAAAGAATATGCTGTTAGAACATGTATTAACTTTTGATCCTTAAATATAAAAATTTCAATAAAAACCATGATCCTTAATTATTAAAAAATCTTACCTTTCCCACCCCCCCCCAAAAAAAAAAAAGCCCTCAGTAAAGACTCGCTGCCAGTGGTCGGATTCAGATTTACAATCTATTAATTATCATAACACTTAATCAATGAAAAAATTATTTAAATTGGGAGTTGCACAATTATATTGAAATGTATATGAAAAGGATATATCTAAAATTATTTTCTAATATATATATAAATATGCAATGTTTGAGAAATGACATGTGAAGAGGAGAGGATAACATTTGACGTTCTTTATCCCCACTTTTTAACAGACCATTTAACAATGTGCCTCTGAAAGATTTAACGAAAAATGTACAAATTATTTGTATATCCATATGAGATATTAGTTTTCTAGTTTGTGATTTGGACATAATCTTCATTGCATGGAAAGGAACACGAGTTTGAAGGGATTATTATAGGTGTAAAAAGATTGACCGAAGTTATTGTGAAAAACAAAAAAAGATTGACCGAATTTTTAACAACTTCAACGTGTTGATATGAAGCAGTCTCCTCGCCTTGCCCATCGCCAAACTCTGCGTGTGAAGAGCAGAGACTTGGTCACTGCTTTTAAACGCATTTCCCAATCTTCTCTCATTCAACCAACACGTTGCTCCTATATTTCAGACTTCATTTACCATCATTATGCATGTCTTGGACCTAAGCTAATCTGTGATAATTCAACTGAAGGGGACGAAGGAGATTCGTTGGGTTTTGCTCAATCCCCTTCATTTTCTAAAGCTATATATATACCCTTAACTGTTTATAGGACCCTTTTGCTCTTTTCACTGATTTCTTGTTTTATCTCTATCTTCTTTAGCTAAAACCTAGAATTTTGTAAAGTTAATACTTACTGTTCGGTTTTAATTTCTTCCTTCCATCTAATGGTTTATGATCAAAACTTCTATTTCTTTTAAGTAGATCAATCTGGTTTTAGCATTGTTCATATATTTCTTTTACTGTGTTGTTTCGGGAAAGAAGTTTTCCTAGAGAACGTTAGAGCTGTAATGCCTGCCAAGTGCTTGTTATTTGTCACTGAACCAAAATTCTCTGAGAAATTATACACGTGAGATCTTCCGAGTTTGGTGGGATTAATTAAGAACTTTTTGTGAGTGGATCGAGAGTGTCTAGAAGAAGAAAAAGAAGAATGAAGGGAGGAATTGAGGAGGTAAAGGAGATAAGCCCAATGTTTCCTAGGCTGCATGTTAAAGATGCAGATAAAGGAGGACCAAAAGCCCCTCCAAGGAACAAGATGGCTCTCTACGAACAATCCACCATCCCTTCTCAAGCTCTTGCTTCTGGATCCCCACCCAAGTTTCCTCCTCTTCTCAGAAATAATTTCACAGTTCCTGCATTGTCTGGCCATGTGAGTCTACTAATGCTCCACATGATTTTTGAACAGAAACATCCAGGATCTCTTCAATTTCTTAGATGGTACCATGCATAATTTGATTTCCCTTTTTCCCCAGCATAAAATGTTATTGTTGTCATGGTCCTTATAAAAACGTGGTAAGATCGATTGACATTATTACTTAAAGATGATTGAACACGTTTAAGCACATTGCATTGTGTCTGCTCTTTGCTGTTGTTTTTGATCATAATGGCTATATCGGGTTACACAGGTCAGTAGCAGTCCAGGCATCCAATTCTGCAACTCAGGTGTATCTTGTTATCTGTCTGAGAAGATTCATGCTTATCAATCCAGAACTGTGAACTTCACCAAATTGATGGTAAAACCCATGAAACGAACGAGTTAACATATTTTGAAATGCATGTTCCTATTGTTACTGACTAGTGTATGCAATGTTTCAGCCAGATGGTCTCATCAGTTGTAACAATTCTACAAAAAATTACGAGCATGGCGATGCTTTGGTAACTCCTGTCGCTACCCATGGAAAAAATTCATGCTGCAGCATCAACCAGAATGAGGAAGATGAGGAGAAACTTGCTCACTGTAAATCAAGCTGTTCACTTCTAAGTCAAAATTCATTCAGTAAGAAGGTGAGTTTAACTAGACCCATAGAACTGATGCCAGCAAGATATGAGAAGAACAGGACAGACGATCACACAGAAGTAAATCAAACAGATCTCCCGGAGGAAGGGTCTGCTTATCCATTAACTGGTTTTGGTGATATGACGGATGAATCATCAATCTCATCAGTCAAAATTAAAAACTCCTAAACCAATAAAGAAAGCAAAATTCATCTTTGATGGAAGACTTTAGAAGTATTTCAGCAGATAGCCTGAAAATATTGCAAGGTAGCAATGGCCTGGCAAATGAAGAGGATGCAGCTTTTGGGGACAAAATCAACCTTAGGGATGGTTACTTGGAGAAGCCGGCAACAACTGACGTTCAAAAATGTCCTGATGTTTTAGAAATTGATAGAAAGTGCTTCTGGGCAAGAGAGACGGGCATAAAGGTGAAGATACCTATAGACATTATGACGCTCTAAGTAATAACGTCCCAGACTATACAATAGGCATAAAATGAGAATCACTCCTGATGATGTTATGGGAGTTATGGGGGAAAAGCAATTCTGGAGAGTAAGAAGAACCATCATCAAGTAAAGTGATCTGTCTCGTTGTGTTTATTTATGATTCAGCCTTCAATTATTTTTTCATCATACTACTATAGATTACATAACTAAATTCATTGCTGGAGGTAGTGGTAAAAGATAACCCTGAGTTTCTGAAAATCCTAGTTATGGACTTGATCATTTCCAAGATGATTTGATTGTATTTTTAGCTCCCCTCTAGAGTATAGAAAATTATAGCAACTTACAGATGTATGCTACAGGCGAAATGTTACTTGTTTCACAAGCATGAAATCATTGTGTCTGTTTAGAAGTTGCCTTCTAAGAGAAATTTGTTGGTGTCTTTGGAGAAGGCAATTGTGTTGTTTTAGATTTTGAGTAAAATGTTTGGGCATTGTGGTAAAGGTCAAGGTAATGAGGGGAGGTTATAATAGAGAATGGAAGATCCATGCTAAGCATTGAAAATCATATAACTTAAGTTTGTTTTATATTTTAGTAGTTATCTTTATTTTAAATTTTATTTAAATTTTGTATTGGGATTATTCTATCTCATCTCTTATATGGTTGGTGTGAAATTATAATTATTTTAATAATTGCACTTAGGTCTCTATGATAGCCATATAATTATTTAGAGGTCAGACTCTAGCCTATTGAAAATATGATTGAGACTTCTGTTCTCACATCTATCCCCCGAGTTCTCTCCTCTCCCTAGATCTCATTCTCCCTCAGTACTATGAATCTCATAATGTAAGTCCTAAATGCTTCGGACTTGTTGACTTCTAATGTCCAGCCAAAGAAAACTTCTCGGAACAGCATGCATAGAGGTGGCTATAGAGGGAGGGAAAATCATTTTAAAACGGATTCAAGAGGGAGACTATTAGAGTTAGTCGTAAAGGGCGCTCCATACATACTCTTTATCTGCAAATGGCTATCAGAAGTGAATGAAGTTCTTTCCTACTTCTACCTTCTATCACCGTAAGGTATACTCTGTTTTATTGGGGTTTGTTACTCTCTTCAGCCTTTCTTTGGCTCCTTTGGCATCGTCTGTTTCCGTCACACTATATCTCAGTTTAGTCTCATAGGGTGAACCTAAAGTCAATAGAAAAGAGAAGAGTGCAAGCATGTTTCCTTTGTCATACTTATTTGACAAGATTGAACCTTCAATGCATGACCAACACATAACGAGAGAGAGGGGGGGGGGGGGGGCAGAAAGAGAGGAAGGGAATACGGAGATTTTTTTTAGTTAATTTGGTTTGACTCGTATTTTTCAGCTTTAGAGAAATCAAGTTCATCGGTATTAGAGATAAAGAATAGGAAGTGTCTAAAGTGGAGAGTGGCTTCTTTTCCATCCCTTGCAGGATTGAATTCTAGGAAATCCTAAGAACGATACAGGGAGCTCAAATTTAAGGAAAGTACCTTGGAAAAGGTTTTTGTTCAAGTTTGATGGAACTCATGGAAAGATACGTGCAGAAAATTATACTCTGATGAAAAACTACTCAATCATGACATACCTTTTTTAGCACTCAAAAAATTATTAATGATCCCAACCTATGTGAGAATTTGAGAAAAGGATTTAGGAAATATCTTGGTTATCATTCAAATATTGTTGCTGAACTGTTGAGAATTCTTGAAGACCTCAACCTATGCTGGAAATGGAGATACTCTCATGTCAATATTCATTATGACTCCATAGAAGTTATTTACTTCGTACAAAGTAAACATAACCTAAATCATCCTCTCATCAATGCTATCAAAGTGATTAGAAATTTGCTCATGCAGGATTGACAAGTTTTAATTGAACATGTTTTCAGAGAAACAATCATTGTGTTGACTAGCTTGCGTATCAAGCTGATAATATGATGTTTTTTATATTAGAATTTTTAATGTTCTGCCCTTGAGGTGTAGGAATTTTTTATGTTTAGACTCCTTGTGATTTTTTGAAACTCCATGGAGGCATGGACTTAACCTAGCCATCTCAATTAAAAAAGAAATGGGGAGTAGCAGTTGGTGGCAATTTAATTATTAATTCATTTCTAACATTTCAGTCATGCAGTATCAAAATATGAATTAGTTTTCAAATAAGAAACCTAACTATAACTACATCCTAAATTATTACTTTTTTGGTTACAAATAAATCTAAATTATTGGTGATACCTAATTAACTACAAAATATCATATAAACATATCGTTTACTAAACTTATTACTCCCTATCTTGTTTTGCCTGATCTTAACCTTGACTTCATCATGTGAATTATTATTTAAAGTCACTACATACATTTCATTCGTCCACCTCCATTATTTCTTTGATTCTAGTCTGCTCTCTACTTACCTGACTCTGGTTGCTATTTTCAGTCAACAGAGAGTCTTCGTTCAGCAAGTGTTTGAACTGCATAGACTGATAAAGGTAAATGCCAGAAAGATATTGTTTTTTTCCATTAATTATGTGTGCCTGTTTATGGAGAAATATTTGGTAGAAGAAATTATATGTAACTAGACTGTTTACACTCTAATTGTCAGATTCTGAGACGTAACTAAAATGTTCTTCAATCTAAAGCAGGTACAAAAGCTAATTGCAGGATCACCCCATCTCTTGATTCAAGATAAGCTTCTATTGAACAAACCTACACTAAAAGTATCTGCTCCCAAGAAACTACAATCTGACTCCGTCATAGAACAACCATCGTCAAATGCCAAACTAAACGACAGCAACTTTGAGAAACCTATCACTGTTGAATGTGCTGAAAGTAATATAATACGCTTTCCTGGGGTCAACAATATGAGCAAAGGCCCCCATGTTCAGCTTCCAACTTATGGTCATCACTCGGGAAAACAATCAACTAGCCCTTCCAGCTCCCACAAGTACCAAACATCCCCATGCTATGTCTACGCAGCGCCAGGAAATCAGTGGTTAGTGCCCTTCATTTCCCCTTCTGAAGGCCTTGTATACAAGCCCTTTGTAGGACCATGCCCTCCAAATGCAGGTTTTATGGGCCCAGTATATGGAGCTTGCAACCCTATAAGCCTCACCCCAGGAAATAAGGATGTTCCAGATGCAACTCATGTTCCATATATACTTCCACCATCTACATCTGCTTTTGCGCATGAGCAAATGAGCCCTCCCACAAAGATGCAATCTAAAGGTGGTACTGAAAATTACCAATCAACCGGGTTTGTAAATTCTTCCATATTATACCAAAGCACATCTAACATGTCCAGCCAGATGAGTCAAGTGATGTCAAGACACGTTACAAATGATAATCACACATCAGAAGATAAAGATTTACAGACAAGTACAGGAAGCAGTCCCCCTAAGAGGATGAAAGGGGATGCACTTCCTTTGTTTCCAATGGCACCAACATTTTGGGCATCATCGGATCACCAGAAGGCCCAAGCTGTAAAAGAACATCAGCCACGTATAATCAAAGCCATACCTCACAATCCCAAGTCAACAACAGAATCGGCAGCTAGAATATTTAGGTCAATACAAGAGAGAGGAAGCATTTATGATTAGGCTAACTATTCTATATCATGCCATTTCATTTGAAATATAAGGTCCACCAAAGAGGACGAAAGGGGATGCGCTTCCTTTGTTTCCTATTGCACCAACATTTCGGGCGTCATCCCATCACCAGAAGGCCCAAGCTGCAGAAAAACATCAGCCACGTCTAATCGAAGGTATACCTCACACTCCAGAATCAACAACAGAATCTGCAGCTACAATATTTAGGTCGATACAAGAAGAAAGGAAATACTTGTGACCAGTCTATTTATGCTATGCCATTTCAGTTGAAATATTCCTGCAGTCCACCTAAGAGGATGACCGGGAATGTAATTCCTTTGTTTTCCTATAGCACCAACATTTGGGCATCATCAGACCATTAAAAGGTCCATGTTGTTGAAAAAAATCAGACACAAAAAATGACAGCTATACCTCGCAATCCTAAGTCAACAACAGAATCTGCAGCTACAATATTAGGTCAATCAAGAAGAAAGGAAATACCTGCGATTAGTCTATTCTACATTGTGCCATTTCACTTGAAATATTTCTGCGGTAATACTCTAATTTTCTTCCAGTAACTATTTTTCTCCACATGTACCAGTTGTACAGAAGCAATTTTTTTTTTTTAAATAGAGTAACACACTACTAGTCTTATCTCTCCATCTTTAGCAAGTTGTATTCTTCACGGATCTTTCATTTGATTCTAATATCTTATGATTAGGGAATCTGCATGGCGAAATATGATTCCCTTTGTAGTTTTATTGGAATTCACTTTTAGTTACAGGAAGACTTTATGGCTGTTAATTTAAAAACATCTTTACACACTAAGAAGTTATGAATTTAATGAATTTCATAAGAAAGCTAGGTTTACTTTCCATAAAAATATTAATTTCCAGAGCTCTACTAGGCTATCATGAATAGTCCATGACATTATGTGAGAATGCTTAAGCTCAGAGTGTCAGTAGACTGCCAGGAGAAGATCCTCAACCAGAGAGACCGACTGAAAGAATCTTAAGAATTTCATTACGTTTTCACTAGAGAAAATACAACCATTCCCCTTGCCAAAACCCTTCCAGTACATGCTAAACAAATCCAACATGGACGGCACAGCCCTCCTGATTATGTGAAAGCCAGAAAGAAATTTCTAATTCTCCAAATCATGTATTGTCTTTGCCCATCAGAAGCATTTTCCCTCTCCTTTTGATACCCAGCATGACAAACTGCATAGCTCTTGAAAGTTATTTTTGTAACAATCCTAATAAATAAGATTTCACAAGTGAATCATTTTAAACATCTGCCCAAACCTCTAACGTTAGGGAATGGACTTCCACCTCTATCTTCTTTGAGCAAGGAAGGATCAGAAAAGTGTAGAATACAATAATCAAGTTGAATGGGATTGATCATAATGCACAATTGAAAACTAGCCAGCACAAGCCCAATCCTTCGAAGCCCTGCAGAAACATAAATATTTTCCAACAATGTACATGCATGATTGAATATCCTACCTTCTACATCTTTCATAGACTGAAACAACAGTTCGGGGAGCAAAACATAAAATTGAGTTTCACCTTGCAGGACAATAATTTTATAACTCTGCTCCATCATCTTGAAGATTAATCATCACTCGCATCTATTATCAAGCTAGTTGTCTCCTGAAAAGCCACCAGAAGGTTGGAGGAGTTGGAACATAGTATAAGCAAGGAAGATCTAGTAATCTGATTGTGGTTTCTTATGGCCAGGATGCAAGTATGTAAAAATCATGGTTACAGTTTTGTTCCCACATTTAATAAGAAAGTAAATGCTTGTTATGACATTTGCTTTGTCTTTACCTTATTGTAATCCAGATGAATTGGTGTATTAATGTTTCAACACAATAATATAATCGCACAGAATATATCAGATATCCAAGCTGGTCCAGGATGAAGCAGAAAATGAGATATGGTACCTATCCTTGACGGTTTTCTGAAGTAAAGATCAACAAAGCTCCAGTAGACAAATACACTCAATATGAGGAGTGTGTGGAAACATATCTACTGGCTGTAGACTTGTTAGTTTGTAACATCCTTCTATATTCTGCTGTGTCTGCACAAAATTTTGCACAACTCAAATTATTGAATCTGAAAGAACAAGGGCTGCTGGTTTGTAGTAATTCAAATATCAATACATACCACACCATGACAAAGATAATCAAGGTCACGTGCACATGTAGCAGGATTGCATGACACATAAACTATGCGTGGTGCCTTAAGTTTTAGCAAGAATTTGATCAACTTCATGTGCATGCCTGGACGGTTTGGATCTGCATCAATTAAAAAGCTTAAGAGCTTGGAAATAATGCTACATCATTACAGAACACAAGAGGATCAATGGTGAGTCTCAATACAAATTTCAACTTTTACTGTCAAGATTTAAAGAATACAGTCAGCATGTTATTACTAAATGAAGACAAGGTTTCTCTCAACATCTCAACTATGTAGAAACTAAAATGTGTTCATCAAAATTATAAACTTTTTTTTTTTTTTGAAACACCAGCACATACCAATATGCCTCCCTTTATATGAAATATCAAAAGGATGCAAGTTCTTCCCAAATATTAGTACGGCGTTGAAATTCATGTTTCCAGAACATTTCCGATTATTATCACCACTTGCTTTTATGAAACAAATTCAAGCAATCCAAATATTTAAATTATTTTAAAAATCATTTTAGGAAAATTCACATTAAGTATTTATATATAAATTATTCTTCTGATAAAGATAACCTCAAGCATAGAAAACATCAAACACATTACTGAAAGAACTCAAATTCATTAACAAAATAGGCTTCCTTTTCAAATTTTTACCTTCTTTCATATAACCTTGAGTAATCATGTTATGCGACAAAAGCCTCTTGAATAATCATATTATGGCAATTAACTGGTTAACATTCAATATGTGACAAAAGCCCCTTCGATTGAAATAGTTCAAAAGCTAAATGCTGAAATTTTGACAGTTATATGCCAAAGTTGAAACCATAAGGACTCGTTTCACTCATTTTCTAGGTGGTCAAAGTTAGAACTTTAAGTTATTAGTGAGTTATTGGTTAAACGTAATTAACCAACAAAATAAGAGAACTATCAGGAACAAACCTGAAATTACAATGTCTGGCTTAGGAAAATTTTTCCCAAAATTTTCATCAATTTTAT